TTGCGACAATTCTTATCCCATCCTTCCTCCGCGTTGTCATAGACCTCTTTTTATTTTATTATAATGGTATAGTTATAATTTGTATTTTATTATAGTGGCTAGAATAAATGCAGTCCAGTGTCTCCATTTATTAGAAACTTTTGAGTTCAGATTCTTCTATGTCAAAATTCTCCCTTTTGCTTTGTGAATGTAATTCTGTTTAATTCTCGTAACCCTACGAGCTGTGGATAAATAGTTTTAGCTACGCATATTTAGATGCTTCTCTAAATTATGTTAACAGGCAATAATTCGCACTAAAGCCGAAAGTGCTAGGGGGCCATCGGATTAAAGAAGTTTAAATTTTAAATATTATAAATAAGGAATGGGATATATGAATCTCCTACATCGTCGAATCTTGAAGAAGATTCTAGATTCAAAAACTCGAATCTCGGGGCCTTTTTTTTTTTTTTTTTTTTTATCATCTGAGTCTTTCTACTCTTAAATTTAAAAGCATTAAACCTTTCAGCTCAAAACTTCCGAAAGATTAATTTTATTGAAGTTCAATAGAAACGTTCATCAATAAGCAGAAAGAAACCGCAGCAATTTCAATGGCATGTAAATCACCAATATACACATCAAACTCATGACGACCAGAATATCGCACTCTATATGCGTTTTTATGAGCTTTTAAAATAAACAAATTTCTGATTTTCTTAATTTTTAGGAAATAATTTTGTGTTCCATACTTAGTATTTTCCTTACAGTGTTGCCATTGCTCGCTTTGAAATCGTTGAGTTTGCTAACAAAAAATTCGTTAAAGTTTTATAAAATATGAAATAGATAACAAAACAAATTTCAAATTCAAAATTCGGGCTTCCTGTTGCCCATGTTCGGGTGGAGCATTACGTTATTCAAAATTTGATGGATCTAGGTACCATTTTTTTACAATGCGAGAAACATGCATATATTCATGCAGATTCTTCATTATTTGAGTTCTTTAAATAACAGTATGCACTATAATAATATACAGGGCGATTATATTTAGAGACCAAAACTTAATAGTGATTTGCTGTTTATGGTGAAACGCCACAAAATGCCGTTTTGAGATTAATAGCTCTTCTGGGCTACCCCTCCTTTGGTCTAAAAAAAAAAAAAAAAAAAAAAAAGACTTTGAAATTAGATGCGAATATAACAAATGCACTGCGCAAACCCCCTAAGCTGCTATCATCAATAAAATCATCTCAGAGTGATAATTTAATTCGCAATTATAAGTAGATATATGTTACTAATATTCCAAAAAAGTGCATACTGTTATTATTAAACTCTTTAGTTTTTTTTTTTAAAAAAAAAAAAAAAAACAGCTCTTCAAAGCTTTTCATGTCCTATATAATTTGTCTCCATTCTGGTACACACTTTGATAACAACTGACTTACAATAAAGAACATATGAGAGCTGAGTTCTACTTTCTTTTCCTGTTATACTGATATACCGAACGAGAACTAAAAACAGATTTCTTTTATAATATAGCTCATCTTATGACCTCTAACTCACCAGTTTACTTTTCCCTTCGCCATTATCGTCATTCTCCCTTTCTTGACCGCATTTGCGACGATACCGTCGAAAGTACACTCACGGTGATCAGTGGCCGACGCAAAGTTATTGAGCGCAGCGGCGTGTACTGATTAACTGTATTCTTTTGAGTTAACTTCTGAACCCCGTACAGTGAAGTGAGTTCTGCATTGTACATCTGATTGGTTGTCAATTGGAATCCTGATTCAGTTGAGTGAATTTTCAACTTGGTTTCGTTCGATATTGCTGAGTCTTCGAAAATCGGGTTCATTTAATGCAGCTTGTCCCTTATGCTTTGTCCGATTACTGTATTGCTGTATATTTTTATCTTACTTGATTTACTTTACTTCTTTCTATTATCCAAATCTAACTAAGAGAATAGCGTTAAATAACCTAAAAGTATTTTATTACTTTTTTCCCTTAGCATATTTTTAAAGTGAATTTTGAAATTTGTGTCTCATGCTATAATAAATTTCTAAACTTCATAAATCAATCTCAAATTTTATACGAAGAAGTTTATTTGCTTGTAAGGAGAGGAAAAAGTATAAATTTTAATTAAAAAATTACGTTAGTTTTGCTTGGTAGTTTTAAAATGTTAATTTACTTAGCTATTCGAGCTTGACACAAAATTAAGTTTGGGTTGTTCCCTAATGCTTAGACAAATTGAGATAAATTACAGTGTGAATTTAAGTCATTCACAATATTTTAATTTTATTTTATTTATCCCTTTTTAGCTGTTAACTTAAGAAATAAGTCTGTGCCTGAATATATAGATATTTTATAAAGATAAAACAGGGATAATCAACGTGAATGAAATTAAAGATCATGACTAATAAATTATTTTCATCAATAAGTTTTTCATTCTGTAAAATACGAATAACGTCTCGCATCACATACTGTGTAATATTTTTTTCTATTTTGATTGGTAATGCGAATCATAATTTAAAATTTCAAAATAAGCCTATATCAATATTAGGCAGCCGAAAATTATATGACTGAAAATAAAGTAATTATTTTCAACTGGATAACATCAAAAATGGTCTTAATACACTAAAAGGCACTGATTCTGGTTCCTGTTTGCTTGCTTAATCAACTATGGAAAAACACTCAAAGGCTATCTAGCTAATAGAGGCATGTTTTCGTTGAGAATTTTCTAAAGGAAACAGATTCATATTCATGCTACAAATATGGAAATACACCCAAGCAAATAGCCTCGCTGGGATTCAAACCCGCTAGGTTGAAGAACTAATGCTCGGCAGCTTGACTTATTGAGCTTGAGAGCATCAGTTATTGATTTACAGTTCCTCCCAATTTTGAAAGATGAGAAGAATTTTGGGTTTTTGTTGTGTCTGATTTTGTTTTAGGTAACCAAGGAAACTTATAGTTGTGGAATAGTGTTAGAAAATTTAGACTGCTTTAGAACTTATTTTTGAAAAACGATATGATAGGTGCTTTTTCAACAGTTTGGGATATTATTCGTTATTCACAAAATGCTAAGACATATATCATCAAATTTTTGAGTCAAACAGCTAAAGTAGAAATTAAAATTCATATAAAAATTAATGAATGTGAGTATTTGAAAACCGTCAGTTATCTGCTAAGTAAATGCCTAAAACTCGCAATAAAAATAAAATGAATAGCGTTATCGAATAATTTGTTGTTATGTTAGAATCATTATTAGACCTCAGTGACATTAAAATAAAAAAAATGATTTAAATCCGAAGTAAAACAGGAAGATGCCATGCAACATGTAGCTAATAAATTTTTAATATTCAAAGGGAGACTTGGTATGGTACGCAGTCTATGTAGTTGAATCTAACTGAATATATCTGGAAGGTATTATGATTTGTTAATTGAATAGATCTTCTAGATTTTCTGTTACTTTAATTGAAAGGCAAAGAACATAAGGGAGCAGCACAAAAAGAATCAAAATAAATAAACATAATTTATAAAGGCAGTTATTTAGAAATAGATGTATAGTGCTTATAAGTTTTTTAACTGAAACTGCAATTCGAGTATATATGTTCTGCATAAGCTAACATCATACGTGCCCCATGTAACACATACCTACGGGAACGTGACTTACTGTTATTTCTCTAATAATTTAATCATTATTTCATAATTGGAAGCCTGAACAGTTTTATTGATATTTCCATATTCTTTTTCATTCATAATTCTCGAAAATTAAAAATGTACGAATTTTTCCTATTGGAACTTTAATTCCACCTTACCAACACTTTACGTCAGCAAAAATTACAATAAAGAAGAAAATAGAGTATTCTCTAGTTTATAAAAAATACAATGAGTAATGTCTAAAACTTTGCACTTGCGAATGTATATCAAATGCTGTTTATTGAACATAAAATATAAAGTTTTGTTTTTTACTTTTTTTTTAAATTGGCCTCGACGCTTTATTTCATATTCATTTCATAGTTCATATTATTTCATACCATATCTACTTGTGTTTGTTCGACTATTATTATTATTTATTTACAAACATTAAAGTGGAGTAAAATTACTCTTCTTAACATCCTGTTTAATAGACTTTGAAAAGTAATTACCTATATTTCTCTCAAAGAAGAAGTACTGTATTTGAAGCCAGCCTTTGCTAATTCTTAAATTTCAAATTTCAGACGTATTATTTTAATCCTACTTAACGTTAGCCAGGATGCCCTTTAAAGATATTTGTTTTCTTTTATTGAATTTTCTCCTAATTCATATATTATATGATAAGAATGATTTTAATTATGCATTTGTTTCTGTAAGTTCCTTTACATACTGACGCAAATGTTATTTTTTGTTTTTTATTCTGGTTTATTTTAGCTAACTTAGCATCCTGCACCTACAGTCGAAATAGGTACTTTTTAGATACTCCTAGTGTTCCTATTAGATACCGGATTAGATACTCCTAGTGTTCACTTTAATTTTATTTTTCATAATTATTTTTATACAGATAACAAGCTACATGTAACACATAACAACACCTGTAAGCTCAACGTAAGTATTTTAAGAAGCTTGAGAGATATCAAATTGTTACTTATTTTATTATTGTTATTTACCATTTAAAACTGTTGATTTTGAATCCATATTCTTTAACTTAGTAGATTTACATTAGAAACCATATCGTAAATACTGTGATTATACGTCAAATTTCTGCGTCTGTAACAAAATACACAATCCTGTGTTTTCATATCTTTTATTGCAATCTATTTTCTATTTTAAATGTTGAAAAAAATGTTTTGTGTGATCCTGAATCTCTTATATTTATTTTGTGTTACATTCCGTGTTTTATTTTTAGTTGTTTATTCCTCCTTTATATATAATAAAATTTTTCTTTTTCCCTCTCTTTCATCCCTCTTCCATTTTCCCATTTTAAACTCCTTTTTAGTGCTTTTAACAAAGTTTAATACTTCTTCGATTTTCAAACGTCTCATTTTAGTACTTACGCTTAGTTTTTTTTTTTTTTTTTTTTTTTTTTTTTTTTTTTTTTTTTAATTTAGCCATTTACCTCCGAGTTATATGCAGATTTTAACGCAACTATTGGTTTAAGTTTGCCACTTTTAAAGTGTTCTCATTTTCACTTGGTAATTATATATGATGCCTTCGAAGAAGGGAGCTACAAGTTTTATTTCCTTAAATCTTAATTCTAGACATGTAATTTTACTAATAATAAAGTCCTGGAAATAAGATCAACAATTTTCTAAAAACAAGAGATGGAGTGGAAAGTTTCGTTAAACAAACAACTAAGTTTTTAGTGGACGTATTCGTCATATTCCAATCAGTACGATATTCATTAAGCATTAATAAGTTAAAGACATAAAATTTCATGCTTTAATATACAAAATTCGCGTACAGATATGCTTAATTAATTTTTAACGGATTAGTTACAAATTTAATAAAGAGTCAATCTTACCCAAAGTGGAACTATTAATCTGCAAAATAGACCACTTCTGTTTAGTAGGCTGCTCCCTAAATGATGTATTTTGTTAAAAAATATACACTAAAACGTGATACATATCATTAAATTCATTCTGGAATATCTCCGTTAATTATGCAAGTAGAAGCTATGGAATCTTTCGTATTTAATTTATTAAAATACGCTGCATATTTTATTATTTTAAATTTTTGCTGATCGGAGACCATATTACAAGTTCGATTTCTTATTAAGAGAATCTTTTCACCCTCAAAGTTGAAATGTTTTAAAATATTTCAGCATCTTGTATTTTAATACACTTCATAGGAAAGTTTTATACTCACTCTGAAATATAAAAGCAAAAAAACTTGATTCTCGTATTGCAAAAATTTATCCAGATATTTGATTTCAAAATTAGGAATGCTTGATGTTAATTTCCTACTGCCTTAAAGTCTCGATTATTAAAAAAATTAGATTAATTCGATTTCGATTTTTCCCCCTTAAATGACATTAAGTGATATACGTTTGTGTTAAAATAACACGCTGAGTAACGATTATTGGAGGAGTTAAGGCAACAAGCTTATAAGAAAACAACAAGATTATAGGAATTTTGTTGTCATTTCTTTCTTTCCACCGATTATCTATAAAATTACACGTATTTTACAGAAATTGAACTTTTGGGTCATTTTCTCCTCTGTCAATAAAATTCGCAATTCCAAACATAAGGACCCCATTCCGGATATGAACTCTTGGGGTATATACAGGATTTCTTGTCAGTGTGGTTTAATTTACATTGGTCAAAACTAAGAGAGCCTTAAAATTTTGCTCTAAGGAATATGAGGCATATGCTAAAGGGGAAAAACACACACATTTTCTGTTGTCCAATACTGTTGGTCAGAAAATTTCATTTTCCATTTTTTGGGCCTTCCAAAATTATTCAAAAAACATTTTTCTTTGGTAAATTAGATTTTCTAGAGGCGTTTCACATTCGTAAGAACTCTGTCAGTTCTAGTTAACGATACCAATTCCAATTACCCTCCGCTTTCTAAGGAAGTTATTTCGTAGATGTTTTCACTTCTTATAAACCTCATGAACAGAAGATGCCAGTAGCTTGACTTTCCTTTTGTTCTTATTGCCTCATAACTCATCTTATCACTAGCGTCTCGTAATTTGCACTCCTGTAACTGAAGAAGAAGGTTCTATATTTAAACCTCAGAATCAAGTCCTGAAAATTCATGAATATTATTCCTGCTGCTTTAATTCATCCGATAATACGTTTGTATTTAAATGGTGTGCAAACAATCGTTAATAATTTTGTTACAAATGGGATACTAAAAGAAGTTTTATGCAACTAATTTATAAGTTTTCAAATACTAAAAATGCATTATTAATATTCTGATGAAGTTGTATTACTTAGCAATCATAATCTAATAATCATACAAAAATTTATTGAAACTGAAATATTTTTAAATTTTCATTTAAACAAATAATGTTACGATTTGACTGTCAGCCAGTATTGCACTTTCTAAAACACAAATTATAAAAGATTCTCTGAGGAAGATCTTTTTTTCGGGAAGGGGGGAGAGTAAGTTGTAGTTATCAATACTTTTGTTAACAGCCTTCTCAGAAATGCTTTTCATTTAATCTGTAAACATGAGAAACTTTCTCTATAGAAATTTCATTTCAAAGTACATACAAACGCAAATATTTCGCTTTATAGTTTGTGTATAGCCCTTGAATATGGCCCCTAATATCAAAATGAAATATTTCGGTCAATAGCATTTTCAATAAAAAGTATAGCATTTTCCTAAATGTAACTGCAGAGACCAGGAGAATGCATAAAAAGTAAATTTTACAAAATCGATTTTTTTTTAAATTTAAAGATGTCAAAACATGAATATTTGAAACATTTTGTAATTGGAAGTATATCAGCGGCAAATATATATATATATATGATGCTGTTTCTGTTTTATTTTCAGTATTGATTTATTCATCTTCCTATTCACTATTAGTTTCTATTAGTCTCTATTAGTTTCTATTACTCATCTTCTATTAGTTTTTCCCCATTATTGATTTAGTTATTATCTCTTGATTTTCTATATATATATCTTATGTATATAAAATAATTCAACAGCATATAATATGAGGGCAGAAGAAAAGTATTATGAACCAACTTACCTAGATCAATTCTTGTTCTTTTTTTTTATTATTATTATTTCATTTTCCCTTCTTCCGTTTTCTATCTTTTTACTTTCTTTCAGTGATTCTAAAAAGCAATATTGAAACGCTAAAAAAGAAGGTAAATTAGAAATTGATTTTGCTTTGTGTAAACCAGGAATATATATAGAATTTCAAAAAAAAAAAAAACATATAAACAAAGCACATAAACTTCAGAACTGTAATTTTAGAAAGGAATTACATTTACGTACTATTTCATAACAACCTAGCTACTCACTCAACACTGTTGAGAAATTAAAAATCAAATTATGTTTTTTTTCTTTTTCTTTTTTTTTTTTTTTTTTGTTGGACTGTGATGTATCAATACACTTTCGAAATACTATTTATGTTATTAATATCTTTTTCGTTGTTAAATATTAAAAATTCACAGCAATAAATTTTGAAGCCCATACAAACCATATGTCGTACGGCCAAAAATGGTTTATTCGGGTTAAAAAAAATAAATAGTACACGAATTACACATTCGATTAAGAATATTATCTCAAGTATTTAACTGAAAAAAAATCTTGGTTTAAAAATCAAATTTGATTTTTTTAAAAATTATTTTTCAAAAAAAAATTATCTTTCAATTTATTTATTTGTTTTAATTGCAAAATATTGGAAAATTTGATGTTCTACGTTATCTATGAATTTATTTAATACATTTTTGATTCCATTTGATAAGCATGTTGAAACATCTTAAATGTATTGTGCAATAGCACTGCTGAAATTCGAAATACGAATCCGTATTCGTATATATATATACATAAATAGATATATAGAGAGACGTATACACATAACCTGAAGTAAAACGTTTACAGCTATTTAAACTTTTGTGCTTGTATTTGTATAATATTATATGCATAGAAAGATATATAAGTAGCTATATGTTTTGTGCAAGTCAAGAGTATGTTACAAAAAGAAATTAAAATTTAAACAGTGAAAAATCTTTAAACCGCAGTAGCACTCCAAATGTCTAGACTAGCTGGAGTCATTGCCCCTCAAAATATTTGAAAAATCAAAATACTTAGATTATATCTTTTTCCGTAGGAAAAATACGCATTTATTCTAAAGCAAGAATGGTAGCTTTCCTTTTTTCTTTTTGTCGCATTCTGCGTCATACTGTTAAAAATTAAATTATTATTTTTCCGCGCTGAGGAACATAAAGCAAAACACATTTACTTTCTGACTAAATTAAGCCATGAAATTACTTTTTCTTCCCTAAATACTCTACCAACTTCTTTACTTCAACCAAATTAAAATCGTGAAGTTTTTTTTTTTTTTTTTTTTTTTTTTTGTGCTTATTTAGCAGTGTTAAATATAAAGTTTTAGTAATGTTTTTATTTTTAATTTAGTAATTAAAAAAGATATTTATTCGTATTTGATAAAATGAAGTTTGTAATTTTTTTCTAAAACTAAACTGAAATACTATTGCTTATAAGAGTAAAATAATAAAACTAGTAGTGTTAGAATATCTTTTATACATTATTTAAAGCAATGAAATAGTTAAAAGCACGCAGACAAATTAACACCAAATTTAATTCTTTTTAATCTAACAAAATGAACAATCAGTTTGAGCAAACTGATTTATGAATAAACTAATGATATGAATTTCGATATTTGGAACCCAGAAAACTAAATGTAATAGATCTTTTTATTTTGATTTCGGATATCTGGATTTAGCAGAGCTTTTCGTTTTTGATTCTGGGAAACTGAGTTTAATTGAAATGTTAATAAACATTTATTAACATCTAAGATTGTAGAAAGGGAAAGCAAAATAATGTAAAATTTCTAGAAATGCTAATGCAACTTCTTTCTTCTTGCAAAATAAAACTTTTGTTTAGTTATAATACAGTGCATAGCATAATGATTATTGGTAGGCTTTAAATTTTTTCCATGTTTAATATTGCAACAGAACTTTTAATTTTCAAAAATTTTAATTAAATTCAGCTGTATGGGCAAATCAAAAATTAAAAATCACGGTCTCTTAAAACAGCTGCTTTAAAAGAATGATTTTTCTTAAAACCAAACTGTATGTACATAACAATAAAAATAGTTAGAGGTACTAAGTAATTTTCCATGTACAAAGAAGAATATTTGGAGGAATTATTTTTTAGTCTCTTCTTCCTGTGGATAAATTCATAACTTCAAAGTCAGGAAAAATATTTATAAACTGATAAAAGTGCAGATATAGATAATGCTATGAGATATAATAATGAATGTGAAATAAATAAAATCCTGGGGAATTAAAGCACTGAAAGCAAAAAGTATAAAAATAACAAACTGCTCTGCTTCTCTCCCCTCCAAACAAATGTCAGTGTCACAATAACGAAATTTTTAAATTTACAGAACAAAACACAAAGTGCAAATTAATTAATAATGAAAACAAAAAAGCAAAGTAAAATAAATTTCAAAATCAAAGTTTCAAACCCAGGAAATGAAAGTTGTCTTTGGATTATATATATATATATATATGCATATAGTAAAGAAAAACTTTAAAATTAGTGAATAAGAATAAATAAGTAAATATTTATATATAGAGAGAGGCAAATAATCCGAAGACATCTCTTTTGTGCATGTGTGTGGGTATATACTCATACACACACACATATATATATATATATATATAATCAATATTACTTTAGTAAATAAATTATATATCTATATATATCGATAGAGAAAGAAATAAAGAAGTTAAAAATTTTTCTTAAATCTCATACGCAGTGAACATAACGTTACATTCTGTTACATTCTGTTGAACACACACATATGTATCCATATGTATATATATAATTTTGTAATTAACTTATAAGTTAAAAAATAAAAAAAGACAAAAAATAAAATGTAGGAAGTTTGTAAGCAAAAATGAAATATATATATATATATATATATATAATTGAAAATTCATTTTGCAGCAGTAATAGGAAAGCAGTTGAAGAGAAAAGAAAAGCAACTTCTAGTTTTTCATTTGGCATCATCTGTTATTTTGCAGATTTTGTTCTATTTACTATTTTTAGATATATTTAGTCTGAATATCTTTATATTTAGTGGTGGAAACTGTTTTTGTTTCAGCAAGTATTAATGACAATTAAATATGATGACTGAGGAGTCACCTCATATGAGATGAAAATGCTTTCAAATATGTTATTGGGTTTATTAATGCTGAAGCTTTAATTCACTTAAAACCTAAACAGTCTTCTTTCCAATGTCTAAGGAAAGAATTATTTGATGCAGGTTTCGTATGTACGAGTTTTGATGCACGAGTGTGTGAAATAGTACCATTTTAAAATTAGCAAAATTCTGAAAATAAGAAATTGGATTTCTTAGACTTCTCTTTGTGTACGTGTAACATAAATATACAAGCATAATTCTGTCGCTAGAGGGAGAAACAGAAATGCTCAAACTAAGAGCACAAAAGCACATAACATACATTCTTAACATACTTTTATACTAAGGTTTAATCCAATGACTTAAATATAAACTGGTTTTCTAATCATTCTTGATACATGGTTTATTGAATAAATTATTTGAAGGTTATATATTATAAAACAATGAACATAAAATGCGTATAATCAAAATAAAATTGCATTTTAAAAAACAAAAAGGTGAACGAATTTTAAAACGTTTAAGATAACATATTAAATATAAAATGGCAACCAAATTTTTATCAAGAAGTGTAAGTGTTTTTTATTCCAAAAGTTTAGTTTAAAAAAAATTAAAAATGTTTTAAAAAAAGTTTACATTAAAAAAATACAAACGAGAAAGGACATATAATTCCCATATGATAAATCATTGATTATAATTGCAACAATAATAAAAATGAATTAATTTATAAAATATGGTTCATTATGCACATGAATCTCTTTTCAAAACCTGTTAGGAGTATCGAACTGAGGTGACTTCTTATACATAGAACTTGCTAAAAATGTAGACATTAATTTGGGGAGATAAATAATCATAAAATAAAACAACTTGATAAAATTTCTTAATTATATATATTATATATATATATATATATATATATATATATATATATATATATATATATATATATATAATATATATTCTGCGTTTCTAATTTTATTGTCTAATTTTATATATATATATATATACATATTATAAGTTTTCATGAATCAGCATTTAATTTAAACCGAAAACAAAATTTATACATATATAGTTGTGTCCATGCAGAATTTAATTACCTCTTAAATATATATTTACCAACAGGTTAAGAATAAGCACGCATTTACTAACGGACGTCAACTGCATTTAATATAAGAACAATAAAGAGAAATATTATGGTTTTATTTAATTTCTAGCTTCGTAAAGATATACATATTTTTCTTGGGATGTTAAGTATTTAATTTAATTTGCCAAGGGAAAAAAATCAGTCATAGCTTGGTTTACATATATGTTTCATTTCATGCCTGCCTGCATTAGATTTTTAACAGATAGGCAGAAAAAATAGGTTTGTATGTATGTATGTATGACATACCTGCAAACAGGCATAGAAATTCAATATAATTTTTTCTAAAACATGTCATAGTGAGTAGTAATTTATTAATTTATCAGCTTATTAGCTTAAATTACATTATTTCCACTTAAAAGTTTAATATAGATACACATATTCATATACATACACACACGTAATATATATATATATATATCTATATATATATTAATATACATATAACTTATTTACTAAAGAAATATTGATTATATTATCTACTAATATAAATTTAGTAAAATGTATCAAAATGAGGTAACCGAGAAGTACGAAAGTTTTGTACGTATGTATCTGTGTGTGTGTGTGTGCACAAGAGGTGTAACGTATACAAACAGCATGGGATTTACCAGGAATATAGGCACATGCTTTGAAATTTATGAAAGTTATCGAAAAAGAAAAAACGCTTACGTAAAATACTTAATTTTGTATTATTCAGTACGAAAATAAATCTTATATATATATATATATAACTTATTTACTAAAGAAATATTGATTATATTATCTACTAATATAAATTTAGTAAAATGTATCAAAATGAGGTAACCGAGAAGTACGAAAGGTTTGTACGTATGTATCTGTGTGTGTGTGTGTGTGCACAAGAGGTGTAACGTATACAAACAGCATGGGATTTACCAGGAATATAGGCACATGCTTTGAAATTTACGAAAGTTATCGAAAAAGAAAAAACGCTTACGTAAAATACTTAATTTTGTATTATTCAGTATGAAAATAAATCTTATTAAGATAAGCAGTATACGATATGAAGACCTTTATCATTCATAAAACTGTATTTATTTATGTTACGTCAGGAATGTTTTGAATAATAATAAATGTAAAAAATATCTATAATATGTGTATAATAGATCATTTTCTTTAGTTGAATATACATAAAAAATAGAATTATCCCAGTTTCGAGAAAGAAATCCCATGAGTAAGAAAAATTAATCTATGTAAACAAACCATGGAAGAAAACTGTAAACAAAGCATCAAACATACCAGTACTTCTGTTTAAAGTGTCGAATCTGTTTTAGTTTTTTTACAATGATTTATAAACAAATTTTAAACACAGATAATGGTCAAGCAATAAAATTAAATTTACGAGAAACTTAACTACAAATATCAATTATGTAGTGAATAAATAAATTTTTAAGAGTGCATGACAAAATGTTTACGATTACCCAAAGAAGAAACATAAGTGCATTAAGGAATGTGAATAACCTAAATGAAATTAACAAAATTATAAAAGCATAACTGAAATTACTTGAAATATGCGCTACATTGCAAGAATAGATTATGTAAGTTATGTTACAAATTGCAAACAAATTAAACTTGATTACTAACTGCCTGACTATCGGAAATAATGCATCAAACATGTCAAGATTTTTCTTAAAGTAGCATGATTTTTAAGGACTATAAGAGATTTTGAGAAACGAGTGCGAGATCATGAACTAAGATTTTCAAGATTACAACATTGCCTAAGCCTAACTCGATAAACGTTACTTTCCGATGTTATGGTGGAAGTTTAAATGGCTTTCAAATCATCGTTTTTAAGGTCAATAAATAAACTACTCTTGCAGTTTCTTAAGCAGTGGGTGCTCTGACTTCACGAAGCTACAGACAAATTAAAACTGATGTTTTGCTTACCGTTGAAAATCAGCTTTTCCACAGCAACCGCCATCTTGCGAGGAGCCAAAGGCCGGAACGAAAGCAAAAGCTAGGAGCCAGTTAGAAAGCCAGGAGAGAGGAGGGGTGTGTCGGGGGGTAGACACATAATCGCCTGCTGGGAGGGGTAGCAGCGGGAAGATTTAGGGGCTGTGCTACAATTGGAGTGTCGACGTGAGGCTATCTGTTACAGTTTTTTAGATGCCTTTCTCTATAACCGAAACTAACCTAGCACTTTTAAATGCATTTGCTTATTCATTTCCTGCCTCGAGCATACATGATGGGTATGTATGCTTTCTTTATAACAGATTTGTGTTCTTTATAACAGATTTGCCTTTAGCAGCACATCAGTGTCTAATAATCTTCAGCAAAAATTTATCTGCTGAAAAAATGCATTAAGTTGTATTATCTGCTACGTAGCTCATTTATATAAGAAAATTATTTTGAATGAGTTCACGAAAGTTAACACAGCAGTAATTATAAGTGCTCATATAGTACATTACATTTCAACAAATAAAATAGTACTTTAGACGTTTGTTATATTTCACTCATGCATATGTGTTTTTCAGTTTTGAAAGGAATATTTTTAAACTTAATTTGAAGATGTTTTTGTTTTATTTATTTATTTTTTTCTCTCTTAGAAACTATTTTAATTATAGAATAATAACAAACTATGTTGCTATCCACACAGCAAAACAGTCTCTTTTTTTTTTAATTCTCTATTTTAAAGACAATCTATGAGGAACGTGTTCTTGAATTAGAAAGGACCTTAAAACAGATGAGGTTTATGTGAAATAATCGAAATAATTTACTAGATAAGCCTGTAAAACAAAATGTTGAAAATGAGCAGAAAGTCGCTTAGTGGAAAAGTCTTAATACCACTTGTTTTGACTTATACAGAAACCTTTTTTACCCGACTCTATGTATTTGGTAGCTTCAACGAGAAATGTGCAATGCCCCCCCCCTCATTCTGTTTAAATTTATGACATCCGCCAGAGTGATTACGAAAACGTTATTCAAATACAGTGAAGCCCCGGTTTATGAATAATCTGTTCCTGAAGGCCGTTCGACATCCGAAATGTTCGTAAGCCGAAACTATTTTATCTTTAGGAATTAAAGTAAAATTCATTGATCCTTTCTGGGCTACAAATGATTGCTTATTGAAAATTTACATATGTATTCTGCACACAAATTCGTAATACAAAACCAACTGAAATCTTTAAATCTTAGGGGGTAGACGTAAATATCTATTAAACATATTAAATAGACAAAAGCTGAAAGAGAATTGACCGCATAAGCGGGAAGTGATGAAGAAAAAATATTGTTTGAATGAGAATTCTCTTTCCATTAAAACACTAGGTTAACTGTTTTTTTCTGGAGCATCTTTTATCTTTTCTTTGCTTCTTAGCGCCACTCGACTCTACTTCAAACATGTCGGGCCTCCGTTTGGCTCAAGGTTTGTCCAGTGTGGTTTGCTGTTGTTTAAGCTTTAAAATATTTCTTAAGTGAGACATGGAATTATCACTGAGAATGCTTGCTTAAGTTTGTTACTGCTTTATTAGGGGAAGTTTGTTACTGCATGAAAATTTGCATCTAGTGCCACTTAGTACTGTCTGTACACACACACGCACTCACAACCCCCATACACAAACAAACAAAACAACAACAAATGTATAGTTCCTATAGCTTCTGTTCTACTGGGCCGATCAAAAAACTTTAATTTGCGTTTTTCATGCCTCGAAAGCGCGACTTAGGATATATGTTAGATTTATATATAGCATTGTTTTAACATAGGTGTTTGAACACAAGACTGGAGTTTTTCTGAAATGACATACCAATTTTTTTTTTCATATTTCGATTCTGTGATTCAAATTATACCTAAATATTAAATTTTGTAAAATTTGGTTAGAAACTTATCAAGAAATTTAAAAATTTATATTGCCACTCTTTTTTCAGGTTGCACCAAGTCGGCCATGGTGAAATTATTAATTTATGGTAACCTATCTTCCTTTCCCTTTCACTGTGCACGAGGGGGAAGTACATAGTTTATTCTTTGAAATAGTGTTAACGAAGTGCGTAAGCCACATTTGGGGTTATTATCAATTATAACAAATATGCCAAATTTCAAAACCCGTCAATATTCATATATATCTTGAGAAATATTGAATAAAAAATTCTAATTTTTTAAAGGTATGCCTGGAAATAAGGTGATGGTAAAAACTTGATAGGTTGTAAAACAATTTTTTTCGAAAAATTTATAAAAATTACTGAAAATACAAATTTTGAAAACAAATAAAAAATAGCTGCGAATTTTATTTCGGTTGAACCTAAATTTCGAACTGTGAAAGAAGGAATCAAGTAAGTTTAATAAAGAAATAGATATTAATGAATATATACCAAATTCAATTAACATTAGGAAGCTAAAATTTTGAGAGCTAATTTTTTTACTACTCATGCGATTTTTACAAAACGAGGCACTTTAGCATTATTTGAGTCGTAGAATCGAAATAGGGTGGAAATAGGTATATAATAAGGTGGAAATAGGTATATAAGTTAGACCAATGCTATGTATAAATTTAATATATACTATATCGTAAGTCGAGCTTTCGAGACATGAAAAACGAAAATTAAATTCCGTAAGTTGGCCCAGTAGAAAGGTATATACAGAGCTGCCCCCCTTTTTTGACAAGGTATACATATTTAAAAGATTAAACCATTAAGTCAATCTTCTCTTCCTTCCACTTCTTCTGAATCTGTTCCAATGGCTTTCTCCACAATCGCCTTTTGTTGTTGCTTCAGAGGACGCTCCAGATCTTTCTTGTTCAGTTCATTTTTATGATCCTCTGCTAAATCCTCCAAGTCTCCGTTGCTAACTTCCAAGCTTTTGAATGGTCTTGACTAGATACACAATACCATAGCTAATAAAAGAAATCCTTAAAACCCCTGTAGAGATTTTAGGGTTTTTTTTTTTTTTTTTTTTTTTTTTTTTTTTTTTTTTTTTTTTAAGCAGGAATTTTGAAAAATGAGCAACGTCTTCGCCGGGAATCGAACCACGGACCTCTTAATTACGCGCTGAGCGTGCAGACCCCTACACCACGAAGACACGCTAAGAAGGCGTGAGAAATACCTTATACCCTCAAAATATCTGGTTGCAATACAATGTGGCTGTAATTTCTACCGGATTCAAGTCATTTACTACTAGGCTTTGTTAATTAGCGGTAGGCAATGAAAAATATCTAAATAATGTTTCTAGATGTTCCTGAGTGCTACTGTTGTATCAGTGGTTACCTTGAATATATATCTTAAGTCGCGAATATAAATCATTGAAATATCTTTGACCCTTGAATATAAATCTTTGAAAATCATTTGTTGCCTAGTGCAGTGTTCCTAATTCAAGATACTATTTCTCATCCGAGAAATTACTTGTTCAGATAATTTGTTCATAAACCTACTTCCTCGTGGTGTGAGGCGTTCGTAATCGTAGATTTCACTGTATCTTCGAAAGGAAGTCAATATTATTGCATCTTGAGCGCACAAAGTGGTCCAAAAAAAAATCGTTAACATGTATTTCAATAAACGTACTAGAGGAAAAATACTGTTCCGGTTAATTTAATTTGATTTTAAGCAAACCTTTTCAGTTTGATAATTTGGAGGAAAGGAGACACATAAATCAATATCCGAATGACTGTGATTTTTTATAGCAGTATAGATGCTGAATGCACGAAGCAACTAAAATCTGACTCGACTATTCAGGAAAAAAAAAATGAGCCGCAAAATAATTTAAGATTATTTGTATCATAGGTCATAAACTATTCAACTGCATTTTTATATATAATTCAGATGTAGAGCAAAAACGTTATCTTTATCTTAACCTAAAGCTGTAGGTGTTTCATTATTATAATTTCAGTACATATTTGTTACCAGTATGTAGACAATTAATAAAACTAATATGCTAAGCTTATTTTGTTCTTTCTTGGAATTATAAAATGGATCTGGCTAATGGTAGAATACACACAAAAACAAGCAAATAAACAAAATAATAAATATAATAATTTGTACAGTTCTTTTTATTTATTTATTCTTAGACGTAGCTTTTAGGTTAAATAGTCACGATTCTCATCTGTTTTTAATACCTTAGGTTTTCGTTTAGCCAGTTTCGGGTAGCCACTGACTCCTGATTGATTAATTTAAAGAAAGTTTTCTTTCGATTAATTTTATTTTTATTTTTAAAAATCAGACGCTACGAACGTAAAAAAAAAAATGTGCACACAATTGTATACGAGAAGAAGGAAATTATATAAAATTTAAACTGTTAGAAATGCATTTTATTTATTAATATTCTAGACTTAAAAACTTTCTCCTCACATACCCTGCAGCCTATGGTGACATTTCTTATACAATACTGCTGAATATAACTATAGCATTGGGTTTTACTTTCACCCATCAGTTTTAAGGCAAGCAAGGTGCCAGAAAATTCTTTTAGAATCCATACCCCTTTATAAATGACTTTAACAAATTATTCAATAAGACTCAAAATTTTCAAAACAAAAGAGAAACACCCCAAAATGAAGCATATTAACATTAGCAAAGTAACAACCTTGTGTTTGGCTTAGATTTAGTCGATTGTGTTTAGCACAATCGATTTCGAGGGCAAACAGGTACATGTCCCTCTTCATCAAGAGCAAAGAAATCTGCATGGCTGGTAAAGATCTTGCAGTCGATTGAGTTATTGACTAAATGTATGCCAAACAGAAGGTTGTTACTTGGCTAAATTTATGAAAAAATATTTTATTAAATGAGGTAAATAAATCATTCTATAGTCCATTACAGCAGCACTGGTAATATTTTTCTTCCCATGCACAGCATTTTCACGTGAAAGCACAATTTTATAGATTATGTATTGGCTCTCCGTTGCTCTACTACACTATTCACATTAAAAAAAATTTAAAAACATGGTAAAGCCTATTTGCAGTTTTATCACTGATAGCATAGAGTCATCATGTCATAGAATCAGCACAGAGTTTGCCTAATGTTATTGTAGCACATATTTCGAAGAAGTATTTGAATCTGTTATTAGCAAGTTAATAACAAAGTAAGCGACAGAAAACAGT